TTCCTCGCTGTGAGCGCTTTTGCAGCCAATCTGCTGCGACGTCCTCCAGACTCCATAATGACCTCGCGTTTTGGTTCATATGTCGTACGCCGTACATCGTCCACCGTACATCGTACGCTGCCCTTAGCGTGAGAGCTTGCTTTCGTGAAACGTCTCTCTCTCTCTCTCTCTCGCTCTCGCTCGAAAACATAGGTCTCCGCCGCGTCAAGCGGTTGTGCGCGTTTCCGCAACCATTCAACGCGGGAAGCGTCTGAGATAAATGGCAGGCGTTGAACAAGCCAAGATCTCGTGCCATCTTGCGGCGCATCTCCCCTTGTTTCGTATTCTGAGCCTGTCCGCGCACACACACACACACCAACATACAAGCTCATCCCACCACGCGCGCGTAGCAGGGCTCAGAACGCAGAACAAGAAGCTGCTTCCGCTGCGCGCTCTGTCCAGCTGGTGGCCATCCAGCGCGCCGAAACGCAAAAAGGAACACGCTTCTGTGACAGGTTCCTCCTCAATGCTCTCACCCGCCTCCACTCTCTCGAGGCGTGTATCAGTGTATCACAAGGCGCTCGTGCGACTTCCACCACACAGCTTGCGCGTCTGTCAGTTTGGAGACCTTTTCCTTTTCTCTTGCCGTCCTTTCCTCCTTTACCTCGCCTTTGTCTTCGCTGTCGGATTCGTAGCAGCGTTTGCCCCAAACAATCCTTTTTCACCCTCTGCTTTGCTCTTGCCTCTCACGTTGCCCTCGCCTTCCCCCTGGCCTCTCTCCATTCAAATTCATCACGCTCATTGCGATTCCCCTTGTCAAGCAAGACGGTTTGCGGGTTCCAAGAAGTGTCCTCTCCGAAGCAAGCAGTTACCGTCTCAGCTCACTGTCCGTCTAGAGTCAAGAGTTGAAGGCGTTGCCAACGGCGTGAAAACCGTACGTGTAGGCACGCGCATTTGACCAGTGCGGGCATGATAGCATGCATGTTGGGACCAACATCGTCACCGTCTACGTGTTTTCATTTTCGTTGTAAAATGCAGCATTGTTCGACTATATACATGGCAACACCGTGCGTTCTTCTACCACATACTTCTCACTTTTCTCTTGTTTGTACAAAATGGGATTAGCAATCGTTCTTGTTTTTTGGCGCATACGCGCAGGTTTGTGTTGGGTGGGGGGTGACAGGGGTGGGGGGGTTAACATACGTGTGTGTGTGTGTAGCCAACACGGCGCGTGCACCCGTATGCGTCCGTTGCGGGTTCTTTCTAACGCGTGGTTCGTACGATCGGGTGCGGTTTTAAGAAATGTGGCCTCTCAGCCGGAAAGCGGCTGCCAGTCTAGCGTTTGTTTTGCTGTTGAGGTTGGGCGGTGTTGAAACGGTAGGGGAGTTGCCGGTGTCTCTTCGAAGGTGGTTTGAGGTACACCCTGGGCATTTGGACTCTTTGTTGGGAGTTTATGGTTGGTCGAGGTGTGGAGACGCGATTTTGACTTGTCTTAAGATACGTTTTGAACAGGGCCGGTGGCCCCTGGACTTCGGTGCTCTCGAGGTTTTCCTTGGTTTGTTAGAAGCGTTGTGGTTTTCTTTGTTCGGTGAGCTGGTTCGTCAAAAACATTTCAGCTTGGATTTGATAGCCGCCGTCGTTGTTCTGTCCAAACGTCTACATGGTTACGGTTGCACGGTCTTGAACTTCTTTGAGACTTGGAACTTGTTCACACAACAGGTTGTTTTTACACTCGTCCGACTGTTGCGCATCATCGTTCTGAAGACGCTAGGACCTTTTTCGTATTCTTCAAGAGTAGTTTTGTTTGGCGCTTTCTTTTTGACACTGCTTTCTATTCTTAGATTTTTATGCCCGTGCGTGTATACACGTGTCTGGCAAAGGAGCGCCGCCGGCCCCTTTATTGGTAAATTTCCACGACGAAGCAGCTCGTTTGTGGACAAAAATTTTACAACCGTTTTCACGACACAAGATCTCCCGAGTACTGTAAATACAGTGTAAAACCTCATGAAATTGAATCTTATTGTAATTCCGATGTTTTCCTGGGTACTGATCAGGCAAACAGGTAAAACACTCCAGTCTTCGAGGTTCCGACTATGTTTCACTCCAATACAAAAACTCACTCGACCACACGCGCGGTTTTCACCGCGCCGGGAAGGTGTTGTCTCAAGTTCTGTGGAATGACTGTGAGCCACGCTGAACCTCTGCGTTGCAAGATGTTGTCAGCCATCTCTTCACCTGCAAAGGCATAGCATTCTTCTGCGATGCGCTCTAGCCCAAGCAATTGCCCAAAGAGTTCTAGGCTGTGACCTTACCGTCAACCTTGTCTTGTTGTCGTAACCATTTTTCAGGCTTGAAAGTCTGCTGCGTCCTCAGCAGCTCTGTTCCCGCAAGGTATCTCACTGGCCTCACCTGCAAGTGTTTGAAGGCCAGCAAGGCCCAAGCTCATAAGCTGAACTACCTCACGTCTTTGGCTTCTATAGCAATCTCAGAACATCTTCGACAGCGTCCTTCAGCCTATAGGAGCACCAACCTCTCTTCAAATTCAATGCGCTCACGGCTCTCTTTTTTGGGTTTTCGACAAGAACTCTGCCAAGCCGCGCTGACTTTCTTGCAAGATCTTGCAAGAAGGTTTCCTTCTCTGACAAACCCACTCGGGCAGCTAGCCGATCTGAGCTTCTTCACTCTGGTGAAGCGATCCCGCCTCCTCGAAGCCACCTCTTTTATTTTTTCGCCGTTGCCTTGAGCTTCTTGAAAGTTTCATTGCAAAGTAAAACCGTTCTGACAGCAATCCGCCCTCCAACGTGGATCTCGCTCGGATCGAATGCAGCGCTTCTTCTTGGCCTACCGCTTGTTTTAAACCAGCCTCACCTTGTCTGCCGCTGTCACCTTAGGTGTAACTGCGCTGCTTGAAACTGCGCGCGCATTGAAATCACCATCGCCTGCCCTCCCCTTCAATCAACATGTCAAGTCTGTCCAGCACTCCAGCCTCGTCAGCTTCAGCCTGTGTGTTGGAGGCTGCTGTCACATACGCCGCTGCTTCTTGTGGGCCTCTTCCCTGAGCATCGCTTTTTGATTAGAATCAATCTGCGAAAGTGTAAATCAATCAAGAAAATATGGCCTTTTCATGGTCAAGTTTTTGAGTAACATATTGTTTTCGTTTTTTGAGCTGTCTATTGATTTTAACTTTGATGTTCTGATTGACTTGTTTGTGTAGTCTTGCTCAAGGATTTTGCAACATACATAGAAGGTTCAAAGATACAGAATAATTGTTTTGGCTTTGGGGAAGGCCACAGGTCATGGCCAACAAAGCAGAACAAAAAGATGGCTTTGGAAAGGCGATGGCAGAGGAGGAGCCAGACACTTTGCAAAACCCTATGTTGACAGTGGTTTGGTCTACAAGGTGCTGAGTGAACAGCAAGAGACCTTGCGTAACTTGGGCCCTTATGAGCATTGCAGCAGGGCAAATGCACCTGATCCAAAAGGGCTGGTCAAGACCTTGCCACTATGGAAGGGGCTTCTGAGGCTGGAAAGCTCAGGAGCAATACATGCCCAACCAATGCGCGCATTTTTGGCCTTGATAGGCGTATTGGCTGATGCACCAGAGTTGAATAGTACAAAGTGCTCAGGACATGGGTCAACTTGAAGCTGGAGAGGATCAACACCATCCTGTACCACATCAGGAAGCTGGGGAGGGAAAGCTTGACAGCAGCTGCAGCAAATTTGACAAGGGATGAGTACACAGAGCTGCAGCAGGGTCTGAAGCTGTTGGATTGTGGTGCTTTGGAAAAAGCAGAAAAGAAGACAAAAAGACACCAGCAGAAGAGTGTACTGCCTTGTTGACTTTTGAAGGGCGTTTGGGTGAAAAGACAGCCTCAAGCCAAGGGTTCACCAGAATGTTTGGGGAAAGCCCAGCAAAGGCATCTCCAAATCCCAGCCATGAGCCACCTGCTGCGCGAGGAGAAGGGCTGGTCCAAGGCAACACCTTTGGAAAAGGGTGAGCGGCATGAGGCCCTGGGGTTTGGTGCCATGAAGAAGCCTGCAGCTGCTTTAGGAAAGGCAAAGAAAGAAGATGGCAAGCCTGCTTCGGAAAAGGTAAAGAAACTCATATTGAAGAACAAGAAGGCAACATCTTGATTGGAAAAGGAAGTGAGAAAGCCTTAGGCCTTGGCTGAAGATTAGAAAAACCCTTGCAGAGAGGCCGCCAAGAGCTTATTTGACAGGGACAGCAGAGAAAGATGGAAAACTAAGGCTGATTGTTGAAGTGACTGCAAAGAGGTGCCTGCACTTCAGCAAGGTCATCGATGAAATTTGGACGTCTTTGGAAGAGGATAGTTTGACAAAGGCAGAAGCCCTAGCTTTGAAAGAAAGGCAGTGCAAGGAAAGGGGGCGCTAGGCCACTAGCATCTGCTTTGGAAAAGGCTCCTAGCATGGCAAATCCTAAAAAGGGATAAGCCGAATATGCTTGAAGTGGTTTGATGAGAAAACTATGTGCGAGTGTGTGGTAAGGGGTCATTGTGAAAGTGGGTCAACAAAGAACAATAGAGTTTTGTTTGCCTACGATAAAACTTTTGAACAACTAATTTCCAGTTACTGTATACGTTTTCTGCATATCTGGTTTCAATGTAATTTGATACTATGATAACTATATGTCCTAATGTGACTATATATTCAATGTATATATATATACACAGCGCTTGTGGAGAAGTTGACTTGTACTTGTGAAGGTCTTTCACATGTGGGCATGACCTGAAGCCCTTTTGTTGCGCTCAAGAGAAAAGGGGCGCGGGAACTTTTTGACCTAGTTTGGTCGCCTCGTGGGTTATGAGCCCAAAGAAACGCTGCTAGCCATGAGCTGGACATCCTCCATGGAATCGGCGAGCTCAGGAAAAAGGAGGGTGGTGGAAGTCAACCCTTTTTGGTCGGACAGGATCAAAGGGGAAGCCATCCTGAAGAGCCTTCGACCGAGGTCCTTGCCCCCTACTATGGAGCGGGGAAGAGGGTGGGAAAGCCGTGGATTGCCGATGGTGGCGTTGAAAGCGGGGCCTGAGGAAGATGAAGCTCAGGAAAATCGGCCCCGTGGAGTGATGAACACGGAGAACGTCGTGGCCATGGTGTTGCAGCAGAATTCGGAGCTGCAAAAGGAGGTTGTTGCTCTACGCCAAGGTCAGGCAGTGTTCGAGAGGAAGTCGAATGACGCAGTTGGCGTCGGTCAGCTGACCTATGGCGCAACCCTCTGCAGCGGGATTGGCTTTGGTGCGGCACCGATTTCAACGGGTGTCAGCCTTGAAGGATTGGTCGGTGTACTAATGAATGGCTCAGGACAGCTGAGCGGTGTATGGAATGGCCCTGGTCAAGTGGGCGGTGGAGCGGCGATGTTGCTGGATGCTGGTGGCAATCAGTGCAGTGTGGGGAACTTGTGGGGGACAGTCCCTGGAGGGGCCGGTACAGCTACCGTGGAAAAAGGTGCGGTGAGCCAAGGGGCTTTTGGGACAGCCACAAGCGTTCTTTCCTCCCGGAGATGGAGGGTCTGGTGCTGAGAGGCCACAGAGGAAGGTGAAAGCCCTGCAGGACAGAGCGGCTGCTTATGGGGAGCAGCTGGATGGTGAAGTTGGTGGACCTGGTCATGATGGTGATCGGGGAGCCGTGGAAATGAGGACTCGGCGGCTGCCGGCTTCGGCTTCGGCCCTGGCAGCCCTGGTGGCCCTGGAGGCCCAAGCGGCCCTGGCGGTGGCGGACCTGGCGGGGGACCAGGTGGCTTTGGTGTTGGTGGTCCACGCATGGGACCATGTGGCGGCTGGCCATGGATGGGGCATGGTGATGAAAACATAAGGACTGTCACCTTGCCGGACTTGAAGGAGGGCGAGATTGGCCCGTTGGCTGCAGGGGATTGGATCACGTTGATCACTTCTCTGATGAAGGATTTGTCGGCGACTTCAAGCGCCTGGTGGGAAGTGGTCTTGACTGAGGCGGTCGGTTGCTATGATCGCTGGTTGAGGTCGGATCCAATGACAAAGCTGAACTTGATGCCTCGGTTGCCGGTGGCATGTCAGCAGCAGCCTTGGTTGAGGCTGGAACAAAGGGCACAAGCTATGTTGATGGAGGCTTTGCCTGAAAGCCTGAAGATGGAAATCCTCACTACGAGGGCTACAAGCTCGGTGCGGGTGATCTTCAAGGTCTTGGTGCGCTGCCAGCCTGGTGGGCTGGGTGAACGGGCACACCTGTTGAAACAGTTGGTGGAAGTGCGGGTGCCTATATCGGTTGGTGAGATGGTCACGCAGCTGCAGATGTGGCGCCGATGGCTTCGCAAAGCTCAAGAGCTCAGGGTGAACGTCCCTGATGGACAAGCTGTCCCAGCCTCTTGGAAAAGTGGCCACTCAATCGGCCTTCCGGCTCAGTGCGATCCGAGCCAATTTGATGGTGGATGTCAATCCAACGCTGGAGGGAGTGATCGGCGCGCTCCTTGCGGAGGGTGAGACGGCGTTCCACAGTGGTGTGGAGAAAAATGGTGGTCCGAGGATCAAGGCTTTAGCCCCGGGTGTAAGCTCTGGTGGTGTAGCTGGGGGCGCCAATGGAGTGGTGAACGGCCGTGGTGATGGACCTGGACCTGCAAAGAAGGAGTGGACTCGAAAGAAGGAGGCCACTGATGATGGAAAAGGTCAGGCATCCTCTAAGGGGATTTGCCGCTACTTCCAGTCCGAGGATGGCTGCTGGCGTGGGGCTTCCTGCCACTTCGTCCACGACCTGGAGGGGAAAAAGGGACGGCGCTGGAACTGTGGATCTTCCAAGCACATGAAGAAGGATTGCAAGGTGCAGTCAGTGGAAAAAGATGGGGGTCCGCTGAAGTTGGATGGTAAGCCTGAGGCGCCGTCGGCCACCAAGTCCAAGCCAGCGGATGGGCCAGTGTTGGAGGAGAAGCCGGCGGAGGGTGCTAAGGACTGTGGAAAGCCGGAAGGAAAGGGCGAGGTCGGTGGGATCTTGTCTGAGGCTATGGGCCTGCTCAAGACCTTGCAGCTGCCAGCAATTAAGGCTTTGCAGCTGGAGGAGAAGGATGATGATGTGAAGATCTCATCTTTTGAGGTGAAAGAAAAGAAGGGTGAGGATGGTAAGGCCTCGACCTGTGAAAAGAAGGGTGAGGATGTCAAGGCCTCGACCTGTGTGAGGGGTGAGGATGTGAAGATCTCATCTCTTGAAGTGAAAGAAGAAAAGGTTGGGGATGGTAAGGGTGAAGATGTCAAGATCTCAGCCCTTGGAGTACGAGATCGTCGAGCTCTTCTTGACGGTGGGGCGACTCACTGCTTGAGACAAGCAGCCGTCGAGGCTGAATGGAAGTCAGGTCGAAGTGGCCCTTGCTTCAGGGACTGCTATGCTCAGGCAGATTCCTTGGACGAAGACCCTTGTGACCCAGCAGCCTGTGCAGCCGATTGTGCCGCTTGGTGTCTTGGCGGAGTTGGGCCACGCCATCAAGTGGGAGTCAAGGAGCTTCGAGCTTCAGGATTCAAAGGGGAGGATCCTGGACACCGACCTGGAGAACAGCTGTCCAACGGTGTCGGAAAATCTGGGACTCCAGCTCATCAAGGAGATTGAGAAGCAGGTGATGCTTCAAAAGGCCAGGTTGGCCGTGCTGCGGGGCGGTGAGGGCCTTGGAATAGCAGCGATGTCAAAGACCACGGTGGAGTGGTTGCAAAGGCTCCGAAAGCTCTTCCCGGAGGTGCCGGCGGAGCTGCTGGAGAGGGCGCTGCCGGATGATCAGTTTGATCCGGAGCTGCTGCCGTGGAATCGGCATGTGAGAAGGCGGCTGAAGAAGGCCGATGAGATCATTCTCCACTTGTTCAGTGGTCCGGATGAGAGGACCTGGAAGGAATTGGAGACCAAGATCGAAGAGTCCTATGTGTGGACATGGAGTTGCATAGGGGGCAGAATCTACTGGCCAAGCATGTGGCTGCCTACATCCTGCACGTCTGCCTCTCTGGAAAAGTGAAATGATTTTGGCGGGTCCGCCATGCAGAACGGTCTCAAGGCTCAGGCACACACAGCCAGGACCACCTGACAACGCGCTTTGGTGCCACCAGGTTCGGGCGAGATAACCTGTCGGACCAGCTGCGGTCTATGGTTGCGGATGACACGGTGGTGTTCCTGAGATCTTTGACCTACTATGTGGTCGCCGAGGAGAGCGCGATCGAAAGGCCAAAAAAGGGGTCAGCTGTGGATATGTGGTGGAAAGTCCACAAGACCCTGAGTCCTACGCTCCTGAGGAGGAGGATGAAAAGAAGTGTCCAAGCTTCTGGGCATTCCCTGAACGGAAGGCCTTCGCTGAGGCTTTTGGGATGATGCTGATCAGCTTCGATCAGGGGCCTATGGGCCATGAAAGGCGGAAGCCGACCAGTGTGGGTACAAATCTGGTGGCTTTGAAGCACCTGGGCGATCCTACGGTCTTGGCACCACCTTGGAGCAGCGGCTGAAAAACTCAAAAAATTGTGGGCGGAATGGGCACCAGGTCTGAAGAAGGCACTCCTGGCTGCGGTGGAAATGTTCCTCGAAGGTCGGCGAGCGGCAAGGCTCACCAGGGACCAATTGGAAGCTGATTTGAAGAATGACCACCAGCCCTTCCGAAAGGAATGTCGCGCCTGCCTTGAAACGGCTGGCAGGCAGCGGATGCACAAGCGGGTGACGCACCTGCACGCCTACACCTTGAGTTTTGACCTCGGTGGACCTTTTGAGGTTGGGAGGGATCAAGGTGGAAACTATGGTGGAAAAGCCCGCTATATGGTTGTGGGTGTCTACACTCTGCCGATCACGCCGGAAGGTGATGCTTTGCTCAAGCCTGCGAGCGGCAGGAGGCGGAGGGTGAGTTGTTGCCGGTTGAAGAGGCAGCGGATGGGGCTGGGGAAGACGCCAGAGAAGAGCGGCCAGCCGATGGAGATGATGCTGGGCGCTGGACGGAGCGCATCGAGCATGAAGAGGGCGTGAAGATTCGCCAGTTGACCTTCGTTGAGATGGTCGAAAGCCGGAGGGGGCCTCTGGTGTTACAGGCAGTAGCCAAGATCTACGCACGGCTACGATTCATGGGGTTGCCGGTTCTACGACTCCACTCGGACCGTGCATCAGAGCTGAGGTCACGCCAGATGGCGCAGTGGTGCATGCACAGGGACCTTTACAGGACCTTTACCGATGGAGATAGCTGGCAGATGAATGGGCGAGCAGAGGCTGAGGTTGGGACTATCTCCAGGCAGACCAAGACTTTGCTCAGTCGGGAGTGTCCACCGAGCTCTGGCCCTTGGCAGCGCGGCATGCTGCTGAAAGAAGGCTAAGGATTCAAATGGAGGCCATGAAGATGCCGGTGAAGGCATTGCTTCCTTTTGGGAGTTGGGGCTACGCCAGGGTGAAGTACTGGAATGAGCGGTCCACGGACTGGCGGAAGGCTCGCATGAAGGTCCAGATTTTGGGACCAGATGCCTCGATGACCGAGGGGGAGCAGGTGAAGGAGGGATGCCTTCAGGAAGCTCTATGGCCGCAGACGGTCACGGTGTCTGCTGCTGATGTTCGCCGAGAGTTGGGCGATTGGAAAGCGGCCATCACGGCCGAGTATGACTCGCTGCTCAGCACGGGCACGGTGCGGAAAGCAGGGAAGAATGAGGTCAAAGAGCTCGAGGAGAAGTGCCGTGAAGAGGGCAAGATCTTCGAGGTGGTGCCAGGAAAAGCTGTATGCACCAGAAAAAGTCCAGACGGACGGCATAAGGTCTGTGGAGTCATCTGTGAGGAGGTCTACATGCAGGAGCGTCCTGCTGAGGAGGTCTATGCCAGCGGCATTGATGTTGGGGCAGTCCGAAGCCTCATTCGGCATGCAGCCCTGGAGCGCTGGAGCCTGGTCACGGTCGATGTGAAAACGGCATTTTTGCAGGTTCCTCAAGAAGAGCGGAAGGATGTGACTGTTGTCAATCCGCCCAGGCTGTTTCAAGATGCTGGAGTCACTGCCGCGGGAGAGCAGTGGATTGTCCAAGGGACTTTGTATGGCACCATCACTGCGCCAAAAGAGTGGGGGGCCTATCGCGACCGCATGATGGCGGAGATGGTGTGGGGTGAGCAGGGCGAATGGCGCCTGGTGAAGCTCCCTGAGGCCAATGTTTGGGCCATCGAGAAGAAGGTCAAGGGGACTGGAGTGGTCCATGGCCACGTGGCGGTGTACGTTGATGACGTGATGGTGTCAGGCACCGATGCCACACTGGCAGCCTTCGTTGAAAAGTTCAGGTCCATGTGGACTTGCTCCGAGGCCGATTGGGTCGAGGAGGGGAAAGTGACAAAGTTCTGTGGCCTCGATGTGGAGAAGGATGGCGGGGGCTTTCGGATACATCAAGAAAGCTACATCCGGTTCATGATGGCCAAACATGAGATCGAAGGGATCTCCAAACTGCCAAAGGTCGAGGTACCGACCGAAGATGAGGAGGAGCCAGAGCTAGCTTGCATCCGGCATGCCCAGGCGCTGACGGGTGAAGTCCTTTGGCTCAATCCGGATGTTCATGACCGGATTGTGAAGGCTGCTGGCCTGATTGTGGCTCCAGGGTGTCGCTGACACGGAGGAGGCCAAGGGTGATGACGATGGCAGGAGTTTCTTGATCCTGATCGTGGTTTTGGTCCTCATAGCGGGCTACATCATTGGCGACGCCATCAAGCGGTATGGGCTTGCGGCTCTCCGGAGGATGTTGGGCACCGAGGACATTGTGAAGGTGAAACTGCTCCGTGAGGAAGCTTTGGTGCCAGCACGTGGTCGGCAGGATGGGACCTGCACGCAGTCGATGGCTTGACTGTGGATCCTGGGTGCAGTGCATTGGTGG